AAATTGCCAGTTGATTAGAAGCTGGATGCTTCTGTAGGGTCCTATTCACATCATACCAACCCTTGAGTTTGTGTCAGGCCTGGGGACAGAACTTTCACATTTATGATCTTACAGCTGTCTCCAAGCAGCCTTAGAGAGCTATGCAAAGTTTATTACCTTCCTCTTGACAACTGGGGAAACTGAGGCCCAGAGAGATGGGCTAAAGTTGGGATCAAGAGGACCCAATGGGTCAGTGGCAGAGTCAGCATTATACCCAGAACTCTGGATCTCCCACCCCCTGAACCTTGGTCCATTTCCAAGGCACCCACCTGGCACTTAGCAGGTCTGACGTGAAACTGATAACTCTAGTCTAGCCTCCCTGGTATGACTAAGATGTTCTTAAAGTTTGACACGAAGAGTGCCCTCAGGAAAGAGTTCTTGTGTCAAATTAGGTAAACAGCACTCCAGGGAAGGTCAAAAGCCCCCAAGTGAAGCAGGCTTATGTCCATTTATTCATTTAGCACTCATGCCAGCCTAGGTAGTGAGGATTATTATCCCCATTTTAGGTTTGAGGAAACTGAGGCATAGAACAGTTAGTTCAATGGTCTATTTGTGTATTCATTAATTTTACACATTTACTGAACATCTACTATGTACCAACAGTGTCTTAGGTGCACAAGACTGCATCAGTGAAGATTCACGACAATGAGAAAGATTGACAGGCCCTTCACGGAGCTTCGAGTCTATGGAGGAGACAGATTGTAAACCAGGAAGCAAATCAATCCTGCTCAAGTAGGAGGGGAAATGCCAAGGTGCATCGAGGTAGAAGGTCTTATTACCTGTGCCTCCAATGCCTGGAAGTCTCACAGGTAGTTTTTAATACAACTGCCATATATTAACCACTTCCTATGTACCTGGCTCTTGTTTCTCACGTAAGAGGCAGCGTCCTTGTTTTATAGATGAGGAAAGTTGCAGAAGGTGGGTTAGCTTATGGATGAAGACAACGCTTCACCCAACATTAAAGACCCTTGTGTTGTGAAGGGTGGTATCCTGGGCCTTCCTATAAAAGAAAGATGTAGATGGCAAGCTAGCTTTCTATGGACAGAAAAAAAGGAGGGGAAAGAGTTTAGATTCAAAAACCAGGTGGAGGGCCAGACGTAGTGGTTCATGCCTGTAATCCCAGTGCTCTGGGAGGCCAAGGCTAGAGGATCACTTGAGCCCGGGCGTTTGAGGCTGCAGCGAGCTGATTGCACCACTGCACTCCAGCCTAGGAGACAGAGGAAGACCCTGTCTCTAAAAAACAAAAACAAAATCCAGGTGGGTCCCTTACTGGCCAAGGGACATTGGGCCAATCATGGCTGTGAGCTTCAGTTTCCTCCTCTGTAAAATGGGCATGCTAATAGCATCTCCCCACAGGGCTGTGGTGGAGGACCTAATGAGAGTGTGCATGTAGAGGGCCATTGGCAAAGCCATTGGTCACATGGCCCCTGGGTCGCCCAGAACTGGGTAAAGGAACTGGAGAAATGCAACGGGGCTGCCCTCCAAGTCTGAGGACCTCTGGAGTCTTATCCAGATAGACCCACCCTGCCCTAGGTTCTGCCTCCTCTGTACCAGGCACCATGGCAAGGTGCTTATAAGCACAGATTCTGGATTCAGACAGAGCTCAGCAAATCACCATGTTACTTTGGGCAAATCATTTTGCTTCTCTGCACCTCAGTTTCCTCATCTATAAAATGGGCATCATTACCTCCCAGTACAATTACGAAGATCAGATGAGCTAATGAGTATAAAAAAATTAGCATGGTATCTGGCATGTGGTGTTTGCTCAGAAAATGAGAGCTCAGCTCACATGATGATTATGGTTGCTGCTGGTGCTACAGATGTCCCTCATGAACCTATAGCTCCTAGCAACTTCCTCGTGCCTCTCCTAGCCCACTGGCAGAATCTCTACTCCCTCCACCCCTGTCCTCGCCTCCTGCCACCTGGTCAAAGCTCAGAACTGGATGAAAGGGAATAGCTCTCTTTGCACTGGAATTAGCCTTGTTTTAGGTCTTAGAGGCTGATCATTAACCAATTCCTTCTCCCCGATCCCATGGCCTGTAAAGGCAGGTATCTATCCCAACCCCCAGGGTCCCCTCCCTCCTGACATTCTGCAGCATGGGAAAAGACTCTGGACTTCACTGCATGGCCACCACTGTGTGTGGCCTTGGGCAAGTCCCTTCCCCTTCCTGAGTCTCAGATTTTTCATTCTCATAATGAGGGACTTGGCTTTCAATCATTTGCTTTGCCACTTCGTAAAAAGTCTCATGTGGGAGGCAGAATAATGGAGCCTGAGAATGCAGGCTCTGAAGTCAGCCAGCCTGGATTCAAAATACCAGAGCCACTGTTTGGAAACTGGGTAACGGGGGGTGGGGGGACTCTTTTTAATTCCTTCCTCAATTTCCACTTCTCTAAATGAGGTCAATGCTTGTTCCATCTCATTCAGATATAAGGCCCACCTAAGAGTCCGCACATAAACTAAGTGCACAGTAAACATTGGTTATCATTGCTTAGAAGCTCAGTGTACAAAATGAATAAACTGAGTCTAACTAGGGTTGAAATGGAGGAAAGGGCAGAGTCCCAGGTGCTTGCTGCCACCCCAGGGTGACCATCAGGCAGTTCTCTTAAGGGAAACAGTTTGAAAGTCAAGAAAGCCAATATTGTACAGCTGGGGTCAGTGACCAAAGTATGCAGCCCCAATCCAGCCCGCCGCCTGTTTTTGTGTGGCCTGCCAACTAGGAATGGCTTTTACATTTTGAAATGGTCGAAAAAAATCTATAGAAGAATATTTCCTGTTATGAAAATTATATGAAATTTTCATTTCAGCACCCATGAATACAGTTTTATTGGCACATTGCCACACCTGCTTGTTTGTTTTATCTGTGGCTGCTTTCTCACTGCAAGGGCAGTGTTGAGTAGTTGCACAGAGTGGCCCACAAAGCCTGCAGTATTTATTATTTGGTCATTTGTAGACAGAATTTGTTAATCCATGCTATAAAGCTTCTCTTCCCTTCCTCATGGAAGACCCCACCCTTGCGTAGAGCTGACTCTGCCACTTTGCCAATGCCATGATCCTGAACACATCATCTCACCTCTCCGAACTTCATCTGTGAAGTACATATACTCATTTCTAGTGTTCAGGGCTGCCGTGAAAATAAAATAAGCAGGATCCCTTAGTGTATGACGGGGAAATACTCATGTGACTGTCAGTGAGGTTAACTTAGATGGTACATGGATAAACATTTAAGTTTTAACAGATATATATTTAATTTAATTCATATTTTAAAAACTAGAACTAGCACACAAAACCTATGGTTTCATGGATAATGCTTGTTGTGTTCACTGAGGTAAATGATCCAAAGCCACAGGGGCAGATCTGCCATCTATCTCCTAAGATGTGGCTCCTGTCTTTGGGTCTCGGGTGCCATCATATTCACATTCCACCTGGCAGAAAGGGCAGAACCCGGAAGTTGTACACATCACTTCCACTCACATTCCATTGACCAGACTCAGTTACCTGACCAAGTCTTATCACAAGAGTAGTTTCAGCCTTTCCTCAGAGAGGAAAGCACTGGGTTCTATTCCTAAAAGAACAAAGGAACAATCGATGCTGGGGTTCAACTAGCCATTTCTGCCCACATATGTATCAATTCAAATCTTCCTCTTAAAATAGTTATATAAATTAAAAGCAAGACATTTTAAAGTGACATGATGTGGCAGCCACTTTGCAACCACAAGACCAGGGGAACTACAGAGTCGCCAATGAAAAGTCATGACATCATTGTGCCTCTGAATTGATCCTGGACTTCTTCAACTTCACTCTGTGATTTGGGAAAATCATTTCCCTCTTGGAGCCTGAATATAGTCATCTAAAAATACAATGGCTGTGTACGTTTTGTTTTGTTAAGAACACAAGTTCAGAGGATTGAGGGAATCAAATCCCTCTGTTCATAATACGTTATCACTATTTACTGCACAAAGCTTCTATTTTCTATAATTGATTGGGTCTTTTTAGTCCTTTCTCTCCCCATTTCCCACTCTCACCCTTTCCATAGCAACCATTCTGATATGTTTAATGTGTAGCTTTTCATTATACATTTCTTACACAATGTTTTGTCGTTCGTGTGTATTTTCAGCTTACATATGGAGGGTGTATTCTAGATCTCATTCTGGTTTTTACCCTCAATCGTAACTGCTCTGTGAGATCCATTTATAGAAGTGTATGGTTCACTAATTCTTCTCTCTTTTAAAAGCAGCATAATGCTCAATGGCATGTACCCACCATTTTTGCCTTTGCCTGTATCGCTACATGCCTAGCGATAAAGCCCATGTAGCCACCAATCCCCACACCACAGAGAGCGCTACAGTGAATATCACTATGTGTGTTCCCTCCTGGACCTAAGAGAGGATTTCTTTGGTGTCTGGGAGCAAAACTGCTGGGTTACACAGTATAAACACATTTAATGTGATTAAATCCTTGCACAAAATCCTTAAGAAACTCTAACCCAGTCCACACTCTTTCTAGCAGTGCACGAGAGTTCCTGTGGCCCCCATTCCTGCCAACATGGGGATTCACCAGCTTTCTTATTTCTGCCTGTCTCATTGATTAAAATGTCATTGTTTCAATTTGCATTTCTCTGAATACTGGTGATGCTGAGCATCTCTTTGGATGCTGTAAAACAAGGTTTAATTACAGTACCTACTTCATAGAGCTGTTTTGAGAGTTAAGGGAGATAATGTATGTAAAGAGGTCAACTCACTGCTCAGTATACAGTATGTGCTTAATAAAAGCAAATTTTAAAAAACCAAGGTACCATGATTTCTTATCTAATTATCAGTCATTGTCATAATTAAAACATCTGACACATAGCAGGTGCTCAATAAGTGTGCATGCCCTTGGCCTTCCCTGACATCCTTTGGACATCCCATTCTCACTTCCAAATCCTGGTGGAGTTGGCCCCAATTCCTTTGCACAGCCTCACCTGTATTCTCTTCACTCTCCTGGCCGGGGTCCTTTCGAACCTCCTTCTCACCAAAGAGACTTTTCAGGATGGCATTGGCAATGGGAAGCATCATGGCAGTGGAAGCAGTGTTGCTCAGCCACATGGACAGGAACGAGGTGGTCACCATCATCCCCAGGATGAGCCTACAGAGCAGATGGCATTAGAGACAAATCCAGAGCCCAGGGCCCAGGAGATCCTCTGGTCCCAGTTTGCCATCCCTGAGGAATCCAATCCATCCATTTTACAGATGGAAACTTGAGACTCAAAGCAGAAACCAAATGCACTCACCAGGTTTATTTTAGATCTAAGAAAACTGTGGTTCAAGGTGTTTAAGTGAACTGTCCACAGGTACCCAGGTTATAAAGACATCTCAAGCCTGACATTTTCTCCTTCTTGCCCCCAAATCCTCAATGACAGCCATTTCAGAATAAAGTTGCCAGGGCACCAAGACACTCCACTATCTTTCCCTCATGGCCTTCTCAGCTTCCTCCCCCTTTTCCCCTCCCATTCTTACCCTGCTGAGACTCTGCTGAACTTCTTACTAGCACCCAATGCCTTTACTCCTCTGCCTCCCTGCCTTTGCTTGGTCCATTCCCACCAACAGAATCTAAGTCTCAGGATTTTTTCTCTTTATATTGAACTCTGAATCCACCTGGCATTTACTTAGATGCATAATACAAAGTAAGATGTAAATCCATTTTTTAATAGAATAAACCAATTATCCCAACTCCCACCATTTACTGGATAATCCTTCCTTTGGATCTGGATTTCCTTTAGATTTATTCTGTTTCAAAAATCTGTTTTCAGACTTGTGTCTTACTGTTTTAGTTATTGTAACTTTAGAATATATTTAAGAGCAGCCCTGCTCATTCTTCAAAGTTAAGCTCAAATATGACTTCCTCTAGGAAGTTCCCCCCATCCCCCTACCTCTCATGTGGGCTCTCACACCATGGTGTGCCCCTTAGAGATCAAATTCCACTTGGCATTGGAATCAGTTCCATAGATGGAGTCTGTCCCACAGGACTGGCAGCTCCTCTAGGAGGAGGCGCAGCTACAGAGCCTAGCAGAGCAGTTGGCACAGAGATGATGCTAGAAACCTAGGAGTCATCCAGAACCTTTTTTTCCTACACTCTCCCCTGTGTCAATTTTATCACCCAAACTGCTCTCAAATCTATCCAATCTGTTCATCTCCACTGCCACCTCCTAGTCCAAGCTGCTACTGTCTTTTGTCGGGACACTCTAAATGGCCTTCTAACTGGGATGTATCAGCTTCTCATTCTGGTACTCTCCTATCTGATCTCTACAAGGCAACTAAGAGGAATCTTTAAAAAAATGCAAATCTGAAGGAAATGAGATGTATTTGAAAAAAAAATGCACATCTCGCCATGTCACTCCTCAGCTTATAACCTTTAAAAGAACAGATTTATAACTATAAGTCTATGGATATAATTCAGAACTGGATTGGGGGAAAATGTGTATCTTCATTTTGCTAACATCTAATCAAATTAAGCATTTCCATCAGTGATAAACAGTCAACAAAGTTCAGGTGTATGAGCAGTGCCTGAGGCTCTGTCACCCCCAAAAAAAAAAAATCCCTGACATTTTCTCTCTCTCTCTCTCTCTTTCTCTATCTCTTTCTCTCTTTCTTTCTCTCTCTCTTTTCTTTTTTGAGACAGGGTCTCACTGTCACTGAGGCTGGAGTACAGTAGCATGATCTTGGCTCACTGCAACCTCCGCCTCCTGGGGTCAAGCGATCTGCCCACCTCAGCTTTCTGAGTAGCTGGGATCACAGGCATGCGCCACCACGCTCAGCAAATTTTTTGTATTTTGGTAGAGATGGAGGTTTTGCCATGTTGGTCAGAGTGGTCTTGAACTCCTGGCCTCAAGCGATCCGCTTGCCTCAGCCTCCCAAAGTGCTGGGATTACAGGCGGGAGCCACTGCGCCTGGCAAGATCCCTGATACTTTAAAATGACATTATAATCACTGCAGACATCTTGAAATATCAACACTCAAAGCTGCTCAACATGATGGCTGTGATCAGGCCCATCACTCGGTCTTGCCGGTTGCTGTGTTAATAAAACGGTACCTACCTGTACCAGGGCGCAAGTGTCTGTGTTTACAAAAAAAAAATTAGATAATTGCATTTTGCTGTAGTTGTTGTTTCAAACTCTGTTGTGCTTTATGCATTTAAAAAACATTATTCTGGGAAGATCCTTAAGATTCACCAAATTGCCAAAGGGGTTCATGGAACAAAAAATAAGATGAAAATAACACCCCTATTTTAGAGGCCACCCAATCCTCTACGAATAAAAGTCCAAATCCTAACCAGAGGGCCTGAGGCTCTCTAGGATTGTGACCCTGACTCTCCTTCCCTTCCAGTCCATCTTCCCATATCCTCTGCATACCCCTGACCTTCAACTCCCACCTGATCTTCATCACCTAGGCAGGTAAATAGCAAACAAGAATGCTAACAGCCAGCATTGTCTGCTCAGGTGTAGGGGATTTACCTGCATTTGCTCATCTAATCCTCACTAAACTCTATGAGGTGGATGCCACTACATCACTATTTCACAGGCAGGCAGAGGTTAAGTCATTTTTCAGAGCAGGTCATCTGGGATTCAGCCCTGAGCAGTCGGGGTCAAACTGCCAGTGTGGCCCCCTCCAAAACTATGGGTCTGGAATCCCTGGGGGTGAGGCCTGGGGGTCAGCATCTCATCTCCCCAGGTGGTTCTTCCGCACCTTTGAGAACAGCTTTCCATGATGGGCCTAGTGCTGCGTCTAGCATGCAGCGGGTGCTTGCTAAATAGCTGAGAAATAAATAAATAAATAAATGGTGGGAACCGATGATTTCTTGGCCTGGACGAGTAAACCAAGAAGAGCAGGTATAGGCTCCAGAGGTGTGGTCCCTCTGCCTCTCCACTGTAGGGCTGGAACCGTTACCTGTTCTTACCTGGCCGGCTGGACTCCAACAAGCATCAGGATCTTGAGGGCAATTCGCCGGTGCAGATTCCACTCCTCAATGGCGCTGGCCATGATCAGGCCACTGAGGAAGAGGAAGTTGGTGTCGAGGAAGTACTGGGGACAGACCTTGTTGGAGGGCAAGATGCCCATGAAGGGGAAGAGGACGATGGGCAGCAGCGCTGTCACTGAGAGCGGCAGGGCCTCCGTGCACCAGTACACCGCCATGAGCAGGATGATAAACAAGCAGCGGCCTTCCTGCAGGAGGAGATGCATGCTCAGAGGGTCAGTGGGGCTCAGGGTAGAGGGGGAAGGAGGCCCAGGGCTCAGGGGGGGGGGGGAAGGAGGCCCAGGGCTCAGGGCAGAGGGGGAAGGAGGCCCGGGGCTGGGGGCAGAGGGGGAAGGAGGCCCAGGGCTCAGGGCAGAGGGGGAAGGAGGCCTGGGGCTGGGGGGAGACGGGGAAGGAGGCCTGCGGCAGGGCCTGCCCTGGCTCGTTCTCAGGGCAGCAGTGGAGCAGGTGTGTGCCTAAGGCGTTAACTTTAAGCAGGTGGCGTCACCTTTCTAAACATCACTTTGCTCAACTATAAAATGAAGAAGCTATTTTGGTCCACCTCACAGGACTGTTTGAGAATGAAGTGAAATACACTGCTGTCTTAGAGATAAAGATGAGAATGAAAATAGTTTACTTGATAGGGGATCCCAGGAGGTTCTGGAAGGACAGTGGGGAAGTGAAACAGAAGGAAGCCAATCCAGAGAGTGTCCCATGAGAAGGTTACCACTGTGGACACCTGAAGCTCAATTCTGATGGGGAACCCTGGGGACAGGGCAGACCATGCTTCAATGTGTGTCCCATGAGAAGGTTACCACTGTGGACACCTGAAGCTCAATTCTGATGGGGAACCCTGGCGAAAGGGCAAATCATGCCTTAGAGTTGTCTCAACTGGAGGCGAGGAAGTTGGAGCATTTATCTGCCAACTCCTGGCCATCGTTGGTTGAGGGCTGATACTGGGAGCATTAACTTTCAGCACTTCCGGCATCCTTATGTGCAGACTGAGCACGCTCCTGCAGCCAGAGGCAACGCTCCCGCAGACCATATCAGAGGCAGTAAGAAGCTACTGGTGTGTGTGGAAATGGTGAGCACCAGTGGGGGTGTAGAAGGGGCACAGGGAGCAACTGCCACATCCTTATGCAGTACTTAGCACAATGCCCAACACATAATGCATACTCCATAAACAATAACAATAGCTGACATCTGTTGGGCTATTAAGTACCAGGTGCTATTTATTCCTAACAAAATCCTAGTGAAGTAGGTATGATTATTATCCCCATTTGATGGATTAGGAAACTGAGGTGCAAAGAGGTCATTAGCAAGGTAAAGGCTGTGCAGACCAGGGTAGACCAAGGCAATCTACCTCTATAGCCAGACCTTCATACAAGTGCCCTGCTGCTGTTCTCAGCTGAATATTAGAACCAATGAAGGGCAGACAAAGTAATTTAAGCCTAATCAGTGGTTGCCAGGGTTAGGGTGGAAGGTCTATGTTGTGGGGGGCATAGGTAGGGGTTGCGGAGGAGCACAGAGGAAACTTTTGGGCTGATGGCAATGTTCTATACCTAGATTGGAGTGGTAGCTACATTGGTGTGCATATTTGTCAAAACCTGTCAAACTACACATCTGTTCTCATCATGAGAGTGATAATGACAATGACTTCACATCTAATGCATCCGTGTCCCACAGGATTCACAATACTTAATGTCCCATTATTCGCGTGGTCACTGTTGGAATGAAACTATTCCTGCCCTGCCCTTGCTTTCTTATGTCCTCTCAAGGCAATGATCTTGCATGTTCTAGGAAACACGAACTTTTTCCTGGATTTGGTCCTGTCCGGAGCCATCTTATGGCTCTTACTTCCTACTTACAGTAAGTTTTGTTAACTTTGTTCCATGTCCATAGGACATCGAACACAGCACCATGCTAAGAGAACATATCCTCAGTGAAACAGGACAGGTATCAGGTTACATGGGGGACGCTATGATTAGTTAATCCATCTTACAGGGAGGCCAGGGAGGGACCACGGAGACCCATCAGACAGCTGTGGCAACAATCCAGGCAAAAGACACTGGCCACTAGGGCCCATTGCCGGCAGTTGTTGGTAGTGAGAAATAGTTGAATTCTCGATCTATTTCCAAGGTCACGTCTGACAGCTTGGCTGATAGATCTGTTGTGATATGTGAGCAAAGAGAGAGGTCAAGGGCAATTCCAAGTTGTAGGTCTCGGCAGTGGGAAGGTGGGGTTGTCATTTACTGAGATGGGGGAGACACACTGTCACCAATTTCCATACCTTGAAACACACATCCTGAGACTCTGCTTAACACACCCTACATTGGAAAACGTCCAGATTCCCAAGTCCCTTAGCTTTTCTATAAGTTGCTCACATTCACTCATGAAATTTATAGATGTGCAAAAAGTCTCCTGCAGGGAGAATTTCTGTACAGCTCATCCCATTTTCCTATTGACTTAAGATACATTGTTTTAGAGAAAAAATTAAATAAGCTGCCACAGTTAATACAAAGTTATCCTTCAGGATACCTAAAATTTATTTCTTGGGGGCCAGAGAAGAACAACTGTAAAACAAATTAACTCAACTTGGAATGAATATCCCAAGAACCCAGGTTATTGGACACACACATTAAAGGTTGAAAGTAAAAGGAATAATACAGAGTCAAACTTCACAACTAAAAATTCCCTAAGTTTTGATTTGTCACCATCCTTTCAGTTTCTCAAATCAGGCAGATCCATGCATCTCAGAGGTAAGATATCTTTGAGAATCACAAGATCAGAGCTCACAAGTACTAATAACCCCCAGCCCTTTGTTCAAGCAAAATAAAAAAATGAATCCCAGTATATAAAACAGACAAACTTTGAATGTAAAAATCAGGGGAAAAAAAGGCACTTTTCTGGACAAGTGGGATAAGGAGCTGGTCATGGGCTTCTCTGTACTCTGCCTCCCTTCCACCTACCCTGGCAGCCCCTAAACCTCCCAGATTTGGGGATTCAGTGGCAGATCATCAGATCCTCACCAAGCCCCTCTCATTTCCCTGGCTCTACAGATGTGGAGACTCAGATCAGAGAGGGAAAGAGTGAGTCAGCAGGTGGATGTCAGAGCTGTTTCCAGAACCCCAAAGCTCCCCCAACAAGAAGCTGAGACCCTTTTGGGAAAAGGCCCCCTTTTGTGGAAAAGCCTCAATGTGTGCTTGGAACCAAAAGGCATCATTCTAGAATTCCACAGAGATAGAGGGCAGGTCTGTCCCAGGTATACAGCATAGCAAATAAGGATGTGGGAAACCAGTGGCACAATAAACAGCACCCTGTTTAGAGAAGCTCCTGGAATCCCAACATTCTGCCTACAGAGCTTTAGTAACCACCTGGGGAGCCGGTGTACCCAAGGTTTCAGACTTGGCCAAGGCCACCTCAGCCTTCTTAGGCTGGGAACCTGAATATCACCTGGGGACAATTGGTTTCCATAGCTCAGAGAGCCAAAGGGGCCTTCCTGAAGACACACAACTTTGGAGAGATGGAGCCACCTCTCCTCTTGAGTCTCAGCTCCCAGTACAAAAGCAGCACGAAACCCGGTCTCCAGCCCCTTATCCTGCTTCATGTTCTTTCATGTAACTGGTTACCACCTGAAAGCAGATTTTATAGCTCTGTATGTTTTCTCCTCTATTAGAATGCAAGCTCTAGGAGGGCAGGGATTGTGTTCCCAGTGCCAAGAACAGTTCCTGGCACATAGTAGGCACTCCAAATATCTGTTGAATGATGAATACATGCTTCTACAACTTAGAGAAAAAGCTCGATCCAAGTTATCATTCATTCATCTATCCATTTAGCAAACTTTATTCCTGACCACATGCTATGCCCTGGGCTGGAAGAAGGCACAAGGAAAATGACTAAGACATAGTCTCTAAATTTTTAACAAGCAAATCTGACCACGCCAATCAATAAATGATTCTTAGCCAGGTGCCTATAGTCCCAGCTACTTGGGAGGCTCAGGAAAGATGATTGCTTGAGGCCAGGAGTTCAAGTCCAGAGTGGGCAACACAGTGAAACCTGGTCTCTAAAAACCAAACAAACAAAAACTACAGTGCTTCTCAAACCCAAATCACCTTCCCAGCCTCTTGCTGCCAAATATCCCTCAAACAACGGATGTGTGTTGGTAAATGTTGAACAACTGGCTCTCTGAAAAACTTGTGTGTGTGTGTGTGTGTGTGTGTGTGTGTGTGTATTAAGGTCTGTATTTAATAACTGGCTATTAGAATTCGTAAAAACTTGACAATCACATTTCCCGAGCCAGCATAAGCTGGCTGCAGCACACCATCGTGGGCCTCCAGGCAGAAGAACATCCATGTATCATCCCCTGGGTCAGAAAATCTGCATCACAGTCTGCTGTAAAATTGCCTTTCTTCCACCCATGCTTGGTATCCTGCTCCACAATGAATTCATGCTTTTTAAAATATACAATTACTTTCTATCAGATCTTCCTGCTAACCCAAGAAGGAATGCCCCATGTATCCTGTTCTGCGTACCACTTGCCAGACCAACAAGTATCCCAATTTGTAAATATGAGTCCTTGGTGGAGATTATAACCTCAAATTCCCACAGAAGCCCAGACATACCATAAATGAACTCTTGGACCCCTTCAGACAATCCTCATCTTTGCGTTTTGAAAATGATATGACTATAAGACGTTTCACTTTCATCTTAGGTCTATTATGAAACACCTAGACTCCTAGACTGTAGTCCACCCCTCTACTTGGCATTCAAGATTTAGTGCCTAGCCCATCCCTGGCGCTAGACTCCCAGACTGTAGTCCACACCTTTACTTGGTATACAAGGTTTGGTGCCTAGCCCATCCCTGGTTCATCTGCTTCCACTGCTCAAGGAGACAGACATGAACACAAATCATTCATCCCCCAGAGAGACAAGTGCTAAAACAGAGTTTAAGACAGTGAGCTATGGCGCAAAGGTGAAAGGGAGCTGTGTCAGCCAGTGGGGTCTGAGAAGGGCAGACACCTCAGCACCTCCTTGCTATGGTCTCAATGTTTCTGACCCCCAGATTCATACATGGAATCCTCATCCCCATTGTAGTGGTGATAAAAGGCAGGGCCTTTGGGAGGTGATTAGGTCAAAAGGGCTCTGCTCTCACTAAAAGGAGTAGTGTCCTCATAAAAGGGGCCTAAAGGCCCTTTTTATGGAAGCTTCT